ACTGTAAGTTCTAAGTGGCACAGTGGAAAGGACTGTTCACATCTTATTGTGTTCAGCTGCTGGGTAGGTGCATATAGGTAGTATTACAGTTCCTCATCTAGCTTAGATGGGCCTTTGTGCACACATTATTGTGTCATCTATACTCCCTCCGGTCACAAAAAAACATGTCGCCGTTGAAAATATTAAGTCAAACCTTAGAAACTACAAACATTGATAACTATTACATTATTTATTTGGAAACATGTAACGATGTAAGTTTTATGTGTAGATTTGTATTCAAAATACTTGCAAAATCTCTTAAATTTGAAGAATTTATTCTATTAAAAAAATAGTGGTCAAAGATACGCAATGAAGACCACTCCAAGTCAAATGTGTCAACTATTCTTGTTCGGAGATAGTAGTTTGCAGAATCTGTTAGAAACATACAGTCCCCATTCTGCAATCAACTTGTGGCTGCTCTATTGTTGGACCTTTATATGGCTAGTTACTACCCTTGTTCACAGGGAAGAATAGATAATTTTTCTCTTTGGTCAATATATTCTGGATTGAAAACGTACGATGCTCTCTTGGTTCATCTGTCAGTCTGCAGCAGAAAAGGATTGCAGACATGGAATCTGCACTCAAGTTGTTGTAATTGAATCCTTCATGATTGGTGTGAAGAGGAATAGAGGATTGCCATATTGTGCTGGAGTTTTGATAGCTTCGGTTCTTTTGTGAACTGACGTCCTGTCTGGTTGAGCTTGCTCTTTAATATTGTGTGCTGTCTATGGTAAATTCTTCTTCTATTTTTTTCCCCGCGGATATTTCGTTAGGTGTAGTTTGTGGGGTTATGACTTGCTATTTGCTAAGTTGAAATGCCCCAAGCAGTGAATTTTTATTTACTAATTATTATCTTAGATTTGCTTGCATAAATATTTTGTTTACATGTTATGTTATTTGTTTTTTTTTTGCTGCTTATTATGGTGCATTATCTTGATATTTGGCATCCTAAAATTGGTTTTTATTTTAGCAGTGTGGAAATCAGTAGCTCTGTGGACTGTGGTCAGGGAAAAGAACAGCCAACAAATAAACGGTTTGTATCTTTATTCTCTGTAGTCTGTATCGCGTATTGCAGCCATACATTTTAAAGTTTGTGTTCCTATTATCATTGAATGTTCAATATTCCAGTCCTAGGTCAGAAAGTACTGCAGAACCAAGCACAAAAGCATCCAGGGAGAAGATTAGAAGGGACAAGCTGAACGAGAGGCATGTTCCCTGGCGAGACAATGATTGCATTTCAGTTCATAGTTTAATCTTCCTTTCTCATGACATTATATTCTTTAACTATAACTGTACTTATGATATTCTTTTTGTTAGATTCCTGGAATTGGGTGCCATTTTGGAGCCAGGGAAAACTCCTAAAATGGACAAATCAGCTATATTAAATGATGCTATTCGTGTAGTAGGTGAATTGCGTAGCGAAGCAAAAAAGCTCAAGGATTCAAATGAGAGTCTCCAAGAGAAGATTAAAGAGCTGAAGGTCTATCCTATTTCATATGGCCAAGCTATTAATGGTGCTGTTCAGATGGGAGATGGCACGCGATTTGTTGTTTAGGCACTTCATACTGTTTCATTTTCTTGATTTATGATCCCCTTTTCCCATTTGGTCATTTTTTTCTTATCTACATTTAATTCATCCAGTCAAATAACAAGGGAATAGTTATTTGTACACCTGTTATTCTCCCTGCAGTTTGTGGTTTAACTTCTTTTGGGTTGCTTGCAGTAGAAAGTTTATATCCACATAATGCATTTTTCTTAAATGGCTAAACCCTGCAGCTGTATATACAATATGGACAACACGTCAATTTGCTAACTCATTGCTGTACTGTATACACTTCGTTGCTGGATATGTGTTCCATAAAATATCTAGAGGTTTATGATTCAGCATATCTTTTACTGCAAAAGGTTTTGGCATTTGATTTTGCGGTTATTAATCAGAAAAACAATATCACCCTGAAGTACTTTGCTTTTTTGCAGGCTGAGAAGAATGAGCTGCGAGACGAGAAGCAAAGGCTGAAGGCCGAGAAGGAGAGCCTGGAGCAGCAGATCAAGTTTCTGAATGCCCGCCCAAGCCTGGTACCACACCACCCGGTGATCCCAGCCTCTGCCTTTGCAGCTCCTCAGGGGCCGGCAGCGGCCGGGCACAAGCTGATGATGCCTGTGATTGGCTACCCTGGATTCCCGATGTGGCAGTTCATGCCGCCTTCAAATGTTGACACCTCTGATGACCCCAAGTCTTGCCCTCCTGTGGCGTAAGCAAGTTAAATCCTGGTGGAAAGAGGCGATGCTGCCCTCCATTGAGTCTAGATCGGTCCGCAGTGTTGTTGGTGTAGTTGACTCCAGAACTGAAGGGAAGGTTATATGTGTCGGACGATGACATGGGGTGATCTGATGACCCCTTTGTATATTATATGGTATAAATAAATTCCGTGACCAGAAGCAAATGAGGATTAGCCGATTAGCTTATGTCTATTCTTGCCTGTTTGTCGTCGTATAACCCACGATGTGGCTCTGGTTAGGTTATGGCTATGTTTCTTGGACCTGAACTGTCTTCGTGTTCATCACTTGTGAAAACTCATGACGGCTGTTGGTAGAAGTGGAAGCATCAAGGATGCGCATTACATGCTAGCTGTGCGTTTGGTATAGCGTGAACGTGATCGCCTGTTAACAAGACGTGCCCGCCATTAACCATGTTCCTCTGCCTGAAATGATATGCGTATCAGTCTTCTTTCTGCTTAAGAAAGATCATTGGATCCAGGCTTTTGTTTGGACTTGTTTGACTTATAAGTCATGGCTGAAATTACTGTTGGCTAATTTGGTGTGAGAGAAAATGTTGTCGTTGTTGGACCGATAAGCCATGGCTTATAAGTTCGAATACGACCAAAGCGAACATGTACTTTGTAAAGCCAAATTCATATTTCTGAACTGTTTGGAAAACATTAGATCGTTTTCTTGTACATAGCAAGAAGGTATAATATCTGACTCGAACTCGGAAATACTGTTCTGTCTTGCAACATATTTCTGAAATGGATTCACTGACGACATAACCAATGCCGCAATGCGGGCCTCAAAATGGAATTATAATAAGAAGTAAATGTCACAATGTACACCCATATACCAAATGTAAATACACGACAAAAGTAAAAAGAAGAAAAGAAATGAATATTAAAGGTAAATACAACTTAGATACCGCGTGTACGCACGCAGTAACAAATGTCCAGTTTCAGGTACAGTAGTAACTCAAAACTACAACGTGCGTGCAGATACGCGCACGTTGCTAGCTTAGGCGACCGAGGCCACCAGAGCAGCCAACGCCAGCCCGGCCACAGCGGCCACGGGCTGCCCATACCGCGGCGCGTTGCTAGGCGCGCCCGCCGGCGACTTCCCGGCAGCGCCACCCATGGCCACCTTGTATCCCGCCGGCCCCGGCGCGTAGGCGTCGGCTGGAGGCGACTGGAGCGGAGCCTGCGCGGGGCCCCTTGCGGGGGCGTCGTCGGCTGTCGCCGCGGCGGCGGCGGCGGCGGCGGCGTCGTAGGAGACGGTGGTGATCATGACGTGCATGGTGCCGTTGAGGCAGTGGCGCGGGATGCCGCAGATGAAGTAGCGGGTGCCCGTGGCGGTGAGCTTGAAGGCGGTGTTGCCGCCGGAGTGGGTGGAGATGGGGCTGTCCGCGTTGCAGCTGGCGTAGTCCGCCGTCGTCACCTCCAGCACGTTGTGGTACGGCATGTACTTGAACGCTGCAGTTAACGTATTATTACACACCACATCAGTCACAAGCCCACAAGACGGGAAGGAATGTACAGATAAGTGAAGAGAGCTGGCATCGGAGTAGAGTGGCACGCACTTATGGTGTCGCCGACCATGAACTTCTTGCCGGCGGTCCACTTGTCGTAGTCGATGTAGGTGTCCCACTGGTCCGAGCCGCCCACCGTGTAGTCCTTGGCCGACGCCGTCGCGGCCAACGCCGCAACCGCCACTGCGGCGAGCAGTGCTGTTCCGGAGATGATCTTCATGTTCCCCGTGTCCTCGAGTGGTGTCGACCGAATTGCTTCGGCGTCGGGTCGGTATATATGCCTTTGGATATATAGCGTGTGCTGCGATATATTGCCACAGCAAAGCTGATAGGACCATATATATAAGGAGGCAGAGAACATGCAGCAAAGAAATTCCCTTTCTTTGCCAAACGGAGTAGTGTTTGTGGCCGACCATGAAACACATACCTGTAGCAGGGAGAAGACACACTACCAGTTGGAGAATCTGGTGGGTATACACGCTCTGTTCAATTTTCAGATGAATTTTGGAATAGAAATGATTAACTGTACACTGCACCTGAGACGTTTAGTGCTAGGCGTGAACCATCCTTGCATTGTTGAGGCTGCAAGGTCAATGGAAGACCGAAGATGGTATGTTTATAGTTTGACCTTGGAGAGCCACAAGTGTGATTTCGGTTCCCCGCCTCGCCTTTGATTTGATTCGGTGCACTACGTGAGCACGACTACACAGGTCCACTGATTGCTTCCTCCTGGATCTGCAGATCGCGAGGGCTCTCGATTGAGGTCGTGCCTCGCATGATCCTCGAAAATTTCTTGCTATTATCTATTTTCAATCTGTTCATCAGCGCATAATGCATGGAATGCTTTGCAGGCCGACTTCATTATCATCACTCGTAGTGATCTTCTTCTCGAGGAGATCGCTCCCGCTCATAATCTCTTGTGGTAAGCTGGTATGGGTACTGGGTAGCCTCAAACTGACAGTCTGACACCCCGAATAGTTTTGCTGCACTGGTGCTCCCGGTGTTTGTTCATCTTCGCTCCTCTAGAATAGTAAGACTGGACCACTGAATTGCTAGTACATTTTCGTTTCGAGCTGATTGCCACTTGCAAATTAAACTTGTTGTGGTTCGATGAGCATGCATGCGATCCCGTCTCGCCCTCGCGTCGCCTCTAAGGCGACTCGGGGGCCTCTGGCCGCTGCCCCGGCCGCCGTGGGGAGTAGGAGGAACCGAGGCGTTCGGCGGCCAGGGGCGAAACTGCGCGGCGCGGGTCGGCGGCGTGACAGCACTGGGCCGTTGCATGATTCGTGCCGCGACTGGGGATAATAAAAGGAGCTTTTTAGCTGGCCCCGGAAAAAATACATCCTCCTTGTATGGCCCTTTTATTTTAAAACCTACCTATATAGCCTCAAAACAAAATTCCATTTCTTCTATGGCCTTCCGTCCGATTTTGATGGTGTTAAGTCTAGGGTAAAATGACCATTATACCCCTGGCGAAAAAATAAAATACAGAGTTTTATTTGTTTGTTGTACATTTAGAGTAATATTACGCAAATGAGTTTATATATAACAGTACATAATAAGACACGTAATCAAGTACACAAATACATAATCATATACTAGATATATGCCCGTGTGTTGCATAGGGGTCACATATTTTTGTCCGGCATACGGCAACACACGTGACTTACGGCTTAAAGGAACATATTGGCCCTGTTCGCTTCGCTGAAAAAACATGTGAGAGGAAAACACTGTTCCGGCTGAAAAAACAAGCTGAAAAGTACGAATTATAAGAGAAGCGAACAAGGCCATTAAGTAATTTATAAATCTAATTACATAGAGAATATAAAGCTCGTTTCTTGATTTTTATCACCTATATTGTAAAAATAAGGATTAAGTCCACTTTTGGCCCCTCAACTATTGTGTTTGTTTAATTTTAACTCTCAACTATAAAACCGTCTAGTACTGGTACCTCAACTGTCAAAACCGTTCACTTTTAGCACCTGACACGGGGACAAGGCTGTTCTGACCGATGTTGAGTGGTTTTGACCACGTGTGCATTTTACATAAGAGACCCTGAATTTTCATGAAACTAACCTTCACTCCATACTACTATTCACGTGAGCCATAACATTTGTATTTAGCACCCATAAAAATCTCGTCTTCACCTTTCCCGGTGCCTCGGCGGCTGCAGAGGAGAGCATGCCACAGGGGGCGACGCCGGCGGCCAATCCGGCCGGGAGGAGGCTCGCCGGCGGCGAGGGAGGGAGGCGCGAGGAGCGCACAGCCCACGCGGCTCCAGAGCAGAGCAAGCAGCAGCACAGCGGGCAGCAAGCAGCAGCTGTGACGATCGCCGTCGTGGCCGCGCCGCCGGACGCCATGCTGCCGATGTGCTTGTACACGAACGGCTCCCCGAGGTCGGCCTTGCCGGCGCAGTGCGCCTTGCCGCCGTTCTGCCCCGCGACCCTCCCGAGCAGCCGCGCCAGGTAGCGGCCCTCCCGCTCCGCGACCTGAGCCAACGCCGGGAGCACCGGCTTGCCGGTCCCCTCCAGGAACCCCGCGCAGTCGCCCAGCGCGAACACGTCCGGGGCCGTGGGCACGCGGAGCCACTCGTCCACGCCGATCCTACCGCCAGGGGACTTGGGCAGGTCCAGGGACTTGACGAACTCCGACGGGCCGACGCCCGTGGACCAGACCAGCAGGCCGTAGGGCACGCGGGTGCCGATATCGAACGATGACAAGATCTCGTTTGCCTGGAAAGAACAGGTCATAAACGATGAGATGATCAGAAACTTCTTCAGTAAGTCCGATCGATGCATATATACTAATACTCTAGATTATGTATGCAATCGGTTCATGAGGTGCACTGAGTACGTACCTCGATGAGGGTGACCTTGACGTAGTCCTTGACGTGCGCGTACCTCTGGCGCACGTCGCGCGTGATGAAGTCACTGAGCTCACCGCTGAACTCGACGCCGGTGGGGTCTCCGCCGACGACCACGCAATGCAGGAGCCGCTGCTTCTCTTCGTCAAACAAGCCTAGAGAGCACAGTGCTTGATCATCATCACAGCCAAAGTTTGCAATGCGTGCAAGCTAATAATGATCAATGCGCGTAACTAATGATGATGAAGGGCGGGTGGCGAGCGCCGACTGGATGCGGCTGACGGGCTCGACGACGGAGCGGAACTCGAGCGTGCCGACGCACGTGGACGCCAGCAGCGGCGTGAACACCATGTGGTTCCGGGGGGACACGCACACGACGTCGTAGGCGCGCGTGTCCACGTCCTTGAGCAGCCGGCACGCCGCCCACCCGGTGCCCAGGACCACGACGCGGGGCTTCTCCCCTGGCCGCGTCGGGCCGAGGCTCGGCATCTGGCGAGGCGGCGCCGTCACAGGCTCGTGTTCCCTCGTCTCCGCGTCCGAGAGCTCCGCCGCCGCCATCTACGGGAGTAGCTGCTTCAAGTGTGCGAGGGAAGTACAGTA